GACACTAAAAAACCAGGTTGCTTGTAAAAAAAAAAACAGGGACTAAATTAGTGAATATATCAGCATAAATGTATGTATGTACAAACATACGCATGTGCACATGTAGGTATGCACGTGTACAGATACCTGTCTGTATGCAGACACACAGAGAAGGCCAAAGCCACGTGGTAAACGGCTAACGTCTGGGGAATCTGGGTGCAGAAAGGTAGGCAGGAATCCCTCGTGCTATTTTTGCAACTTTTCTGTCAGTCTGAAATTCTTTCAAAATAAAAAGTTAAAAACTTAATGAGGTCAGTCAAAAGCACTGGAAGGAATCAGCTTTAAGGAGCTTGCCTGTCCATGGTTATGGCAATTTAACCTCAGAAAGAAGGATTTGAAATACTCAAAGCAAGAGAAAACCAGGAACATAAGCCCTCCCGTGACCCCACCTGAGGCAGGGTTCAGCCCTCGCCCACTCGGCACTGCTTGCTGAAGGGCAGGGCAGGCTCGGAGCCTGCCGGGCGGCTCTCCCGGACAGCAGCCAACATCAGCACATGCTGCCTAGGGATGGCAGATTAGGGTCATCACTCTTCCCTAAGCCCTCGTGAAATTCTTGCTCATGGCAAGGATTATCACCTGGGTTAACAGCACGCCATGTGCCGTGGATGGGGCGCCCCCAAAGTAAGCCCCTGTGGATGACTTTCTAGTCACAAGGAGAACACGTGACTGCATGGCAGAGGACTGCACTGGCCGCCCCCTAACCAGAGGTCAATTTCAGCATCGTTGACAGTGGGCCAAAAAGATATGAAACATCTTCTGATATGAGTTCATATAAAGGACACAGTATCGCTACACATATTACAACCAAAAGCTGCAGGTGAATCTGTCAAACCTTCAAATACGCCTTCCAGATGCAGGAACTCCGGGAGAGTTGTCTCTGGGAGAGAGGTCAGTGCAACCGCATAGAAGCAGCCACACGGAGCCACAGGGCGCACCTCCTGCAGGACAACGTGCCTAGGCCCATACGTTGGTTTCACGTAGATTAGAAGATTCTTAAGGACACGATGACCAGCTTTGACTGGATCTTGGCTGGACACACTGGAAGAGGACTTTGGGGACACTGGGGAAATCCCAAATCCAGGGTATTAGACCAGGTGAAAACTTATGGACGGGGACAGTTGGAGATCACTAACTCACAGATGTATGACCTCACTGGGGTAACCTCCCCCCACCAAACCCAAAGAACCATCCAGATGTGTGTGTCCATAGAAAACTATGTGACAGATATACAGTAAGGTATTAACAGTGGTCCTCTCTGGATGGGGGAATACAGTGTGCTTAGCTTCCCATTCTGGGTTCTATCTTCTAACATATATATTGCTTTTTTAAAAAGAGGGAGCAGATGGGAGAAGAGGAGGTGGAGAAAGTGAATACAGACTGCTCTTGATTTCTGCTGCGAGGGGGAGCGATTGGAGGGTGATGTTGGGTTAAGAGCTTTTTCTTTTTAACATGAGTGAAGTTCGCAAAAGACAAGGGGCCAGGCTCCTGACCTGAGACAGGAGCAGAGCTGGTCTCTGGGCCAGGAGGGCGACAGGTCTGAGAGCAGGGAGAGGGGCTGAGGGGAGGAGGGGCAGGCCTCGACTGGGTGCATTCTATTCCTCTGTCAAGTTCTCAGTCAAGTTAGGGAGCCACCTTTGAGAATATTTGAGAATAAACACATACACTTGAGTGTTGCTGCTCAAATATTTATATTTTAAAGCATCTTTAGTATGATACTTTACTGCTTAAAAATACCCAAGTCAACTTTGAAATGGAGAGTTGTTCAAACTTAACTCTCAGTGACAGTCTGTGTGGAGCTCTAGCCCAGATTAGAAACGGATGAAAACAAAGGACCCTGACTGTTCTTCTTTGAAAAGGAGAGCAGAGAAGAACAAAAATCGAGGTATGCTCCAGGTGATAACCCTCTGAAGTCACACCCAGCTGGAGCCAGGCTCTGCCTTCAGACACGATCCTGCAGCCAGCAGGCCCCAAGAGGGCTGCTTGGAGTGCGGCCCTTGGTGGAGTCACGGTTACAGTGACTTCAAAACACACCATTTCTTTCTTCACACGGAAACAAAGTAAGGCCAACACGAGTCTCTGCCCTGCTCCCTTGCCCATCACTGACCTGCGCACACTAGGACAACTGGTCACACTTTCTAAGTAGCCAAGGGATATCAAACGTGTAGCTCTGGAAGAGGAAGCTGGCGCTTATCACCTGCTCCTCCCAAGTGAAAATCAAAGAATGAACTCTGAGAAGCAGGGCGTGGTGACAGACTCACTGCTTGTCTTGAAAGGTGGCTAGTGAGGAGATGAGAGCACTGCAGAAGGGCATTCGGGATCTCTGCGAGGCAGCCATCAAGACCCTTCTTCCTGACCTAGTGGCCAGATGACACTCCGCAGGGGCTGAACGACGATGCTGGAGCTGAGGGGCCCCACTGAGGAGGTGACAAAGCGCTGGCCACAAGGGCCCTGTCCCTGTGACTGCTGGGGTCTGCCCCAGGCCCTGTCCTGCCCCTCACGGCTGTTAATCACCACGTGGACGAACTTTCAGAAGGCACGTTCATGCTCCTAAAGCTGATGGATGTCACAAGTGAGCAGAGAGAACACCTACGAAGGATGACAGAATCAGGATTAACTGCACCACCACAAAATGCGGTAATTTTGCTGGACTACAGGCTCTGAGTGTGACATGGCTGTTAAGGCTCAGGCCACCTGAGACTGCATTAGTTAGTGAGGGGCCTTGTTTGGAGGGTGCTGCTGCTCAGGCTATACCTGGAATGTTATGTTATTTCCAGGACCATAGTTTTAGGGTGCGCTGAGGGAGAGAGGCTCTGGGGCTTTTTCAGATAAAGAGGATTAGGAGAACTTTGAGTTTAGCCAGAGATGGCAACACTTGGAGCTTAGGTTTCCAACCAACGTGTTAAAGCCTGTTGCATGAAGATGGGTCAGACTCGCTCTAGTTCACCCAAAGGAAAGGCCTCAGACCCACGGGTGGAAGTCGTGGGAGCCAGGTTTCGGTTCAGGGAGGAACTTTCTAACACTCAAAACCACAAAAAATTCAGTGGGAAGGGCATTCCCTGCATGAAAACCATCAGAGCCGAGGCTGGTGATCGCGGGAGGGGGCCCCCTGCTCTGAACGGAGGTGTGAGCTGGAGAACTCCCTCCATTCCAGCGCTCCATGCCATCCAAGTGCGTAAGTGAAAGGAATCTTAAAGCACGTGTATAAAAATCCGAACTAAGTCACAGGGAAGTTTGGGGAGAAGGGGAGAAAATGTTATTGCAGAATCCATTTAAAACAGAGATTTAAGTGAAAGTCAGGAGTTTACTTCAAAGCTCAGCACAGAACTACTACTTTAAAATGGAGAGAGGCTTAATTACATCTGTCTCTCCACGAAGTCTGCATCACAAACCTGCAGCTCCTCCTTTGCAGTCCCACCCCGAGTTCTGTGGAAGGAATGACGGAAATGCCGTTTCACTGGAACTGAGCCTCCAGACGCTCTTTTTGATATTGAATAAGAACACCAACTAGAGCTGGGCTCAGAGTGAGATGTCCCTATTTACACGCAAGATCTGTGTGCACAGGTGTTGGGGCTACTAACAGCAGAAAAGGCAGCAGAACCCTCCTGCAGGCTCCGCTTCCATCTAAGACGCCTCGTGCATCTAGAAGCTGCTTCTAGAAAGGGGCTCCTAACACGGGATCCACCAGGGTCCAGGATTCCTTGAGGAGTCTGGCAAAATTTTGAGCTCATGGCATTTTTCTAAGGAGAAGGTCACAGTTTTCAGCAGTTCTCAAAGGTGTTTATATGACTAAAGGAACAGAGCGTTCTGCACGCATGCACGGCAACAAGGAGCGGGCAGCCTGTGGGGCCCGCCTGCCCCGCCCGGGGTTGCAGCCTCAGTGCTGTCACGCAGGGGTTGGAGAACTGATGCCAAGTTTCCGTCCCATTCTAAAGCACCGCGGCAGAGAAGGGATGGCGGCAAACAGCCTTGCTCCCACAGACCCCGGGTCCTCAAAGCCTTGGTTTTTCAAACTGTGAAGGAGTGGAAGGCCCTGGGCCTTGACGACACAATGAATGGCAAGTTCCAATGATGATGACAGAAGCATCCCTCTTAAATCAGGGTCACGGATGGCCTCAAGGAGACGCAACTGGCTACTCCATCACTGTTATTACTGATTTTGTTACCAACTTTCCAGATTAAAAACAAAAATGTCATATAACTGCCTTATTGTCAAAGGCAACCTTATGCTTAAATTTACATGAGTAGCCACAGAATCTTCAAGACAATATTAAGTTATTCTGAAATATTACTCCTCCCCCCACCAAAAAACCTTACCCCACCTACAGGTACTGTTTTAGCCAATGAATAAAAAGTATTTTAGTACTGTCTACATTGAAAGTGGGAAGGGAATAAGACAGAGAAATGGAACCCAGACTAATATCAAGAGAAATGTTTCCCTTCTCTAGAGACCTTTAAAAATAAGACTGATACCCGTCTATCAAGGATTCTAGTCCTTTGAAGCAGAGAAAAGAAAATGAGCCACTGAGAGCCCTTTTACTCCTGTGGTTTTCAGTCATGAACATCCTCAAGTGCTTCAAAACCAGAGGTGAAATGAGAGTGGCTCATCGTGTGCACAAACCCAGAGGCCTACAAGCACCATTAAGGAGTTTAGGTAACTCAAGGAAACACTGATTGGTGGGTTCTCCTGGCCACACTGTGAGAAAACAATTACACCAACACTGAATATTCGATTTTGTCCATGTTTTCAAAAACAAATTCGAGAATTTGCAGAATATTTCAGCAAGAGAACTGACAGAAATGTCCTGCCCTTCGATTTAAAAACATTTGCTAATATTGGCTGAAATGACGACACTCCAACTTCTACCTGTGTTCACGTTAAATCTGTAATCAGAGAGGGTGATGTCGAAATACACAGTCAAGTGTCACTTAAAAACACAAAAACTGGACGTGCTATACACTTCTCTTTTAAAATGTATCTGTATTATTTTCACCAATCAAAACACATATAATATATTTTATTATAAAACATTAGGCAATGTTACTTTTGAGATATGCAATCCGAAAGGTCACGCTGTATTCACCGCCAGTATGAAATGCAGAGGAGTCACGCTGGGGACCAACCAGGTGAACACCCCGACTTGCACAGCATCAGATCTGGATTAAACCAGCATCCCATTCAGTGTTTCAACCACAACTCTGGGTGTCAGGAAGGGGCCTGCGAGGGGATCTCCTTTCAGCACTACGGCTCTGAGTTTTGCGTCCCAAAGATAAGAACAGAGCCCTACTTCCATCTCTGTGGCCACAGCCGACCCACACCGAGCAGTGTGTGTTTCTAGCCTGCTCTCCCGCTCTGGGAGACTCTGTCTGCTCTCCGGAACCTGCACTTGAAATCAAGACCCGACAGAGGGGAGGCAGTCATTTCCTTTTTGACTGAAAACTAAGCCAATGAACAAAACAAACCTAGTCCAAATTCCAGGCTAATAATAAATTACCTGGTTTATAAAAATATGCGTTCAAAATAGTTACTTCCGGGGTTGTGTACCATATAAATTACAAAAATAAAATAGAAAAGATGAAAAAGTTGAGTACATTTTCAGTTCTTTATCTGACATCAGCATTCACCACAGAGAGCAGTCTGAAACCATCTGCACTGCACCAGGACCTGGCACATCTCGGCTCAGGAGGAGGACCCTGGACTGGGTGAGGCATTTCTATGGAGCTCTGTCATCTGCAGCCTGCGGCCTGTCCTAGGGGCATCTGCTGCTGCCTGATGGAAGCTGGTCTGGGTAGGAAACCTGTGCACACGGCCACGGGCTCCATCCATGAACGCAGAGAGGAACGAGTGGCTGGAAGCCCATGGACGGGGCTCCTGGCTCTGCTCACAAATGGCGCCTGGAAAGCAGGGCCTCGATGTGCCCTCGGCACCCTTGCGCTGCCTTTCCATAAGCCTCGGGCAGAGAAAGCATTTTTAAAATTCTGCCCTTTCTTTGTTTTTCTTTTTAAAGACAGGTTTAGTAAAGTCTTCTTAAAGCATGTATATTAGAGAGATGGCCATTTTAAGATGTTTATGTACGTATACCGATAACTTTCCTCACCACACCATCAGGCCTCTAAAACCAAAATAATCCCAAGCCATAGGACAGGTGTTTCAGCCTCAATCCAAGTTAGTATTTCCATCTTGTATTTGAATGTGTCTAAACCTCACAATATAAAACTATTTATTATTTCAGTATTAATTTTGTTCATCAAGGGTTCCAGTTTCCAGTGATGAGACCAACCAACAAGATACAACTGGTGCAGAGAGATTCATATATTTTAGGTAATATTTATAATAAACTTTCTTATCAAAGTTCCTCTTCAGAACACATTCTATAAAATGTGAACAATGTTGATCCAATAGCTTCCAAAATAACTAAACACAAGATATGAATCTGTAACAGAATGAGCTCAAGGAGAAAGCTTATGAGTACAAGTAGCCAAGATGTGGCCACTGTTCTCCACTCCTGCAGGGACATTATTACTCAGTATCCTAGTGACTGCCAAATTATTTCCATATCAGTGAGTCTGAAAGGATCAATTTCAGGTGAGCAGTTTTAAATCAGAAAACATTCAATAGCTAATCACTACTCTTTCCCCAGAACATTCATGGATTTCCTTTAGGAAAAGTAAATGCCTCCACAGAGTGGAAAACAACAACAAACAGGCATTCTGAATCAGCCTTGCCTCCTAAAACAGACGAAAGCGGGAGTTACGTGGGTTCTTTCATAAAGAAAGAAAATCCAGCAAGCCTGCTGTGTGGGCAAAGGGAAATGCTGCCATGGGACATCACATACCCTACCCCACGTGACAGATGCTAAGGAAGGGTCCCAGCCAGCCTTGGCAAAGCGAGCACCTGGTGAGTGACTGCCATCACCTTTAGTGGTCACTCTAAAATTCTGCTACAACAGCAGGTAATGGACTCAGGAATCCATCTGCCATCATATTATTGACATGGAGTATCAGGTGGCTAACAGAGAAGGTGAAGTTCTAGGTAGCATTTTAAATTAATAAGTCCAGAAAACCAAGAGAAAAGGGATAGGACAGATAGGATTTTAAAGGTATATATGTCTTAAGCAGCAAAAAACAAAACTTAAGGTTTTATCATGCAGTAAAGCTGAATGTACAATCATTCGGACTAAACCAACTTAGAGAAAACAAAGTGTCTTGGTTTTAGCAGTGATAATTCTCAGCCTAAAACATGACAAATTTAAGGAAAGTTATATATTTTGTTTATTAAATAGATTTAATTATACTCCTTCTGAAATACAAAAGATAGACTAAATCATACCATAAAAGAAGGTAGGATATGATAATATGATGTGGTCAATTAATACACATAAATCTATTTTTCTGGACAGATATCAAATTACTTAGGATTACGAGATAAGTCTAGAAGCAGCACTACTTGGAAGATTATTTGGCATTTAAATACTGATTTCCAAAATGCTAGATGGTGAGTCCAAGGACACACTTGTGGTCACATGCATGTAAGTCCCAACAGTTACTGAGGATGAGAAACTGTCACTACTATTACCGTACAACTTTTTAAAAAATTCATCTATCCTAGTTGCTCACCTGAAATGGCGTTGAAAAAAATCTCTAACAGTGTGGCTTGCACTTTTCTTATTCAGACATAACCTGCTTCACTTTATAGTCTAAGCAGACAATCCTATGAGAACTGAGCAAGGGCAAGGAATCGTGTTTCTTACATGCAGAACATGGAGTTTTTCTGTTTGGTTCCATCAACTCCCAAGCATTTCAGGCCTATGGAAGTGAGAGTTCCTTCAATGGCGACATGCTTGCTGTTTCTAACTTATCATCGACAACCTTCAAGGGGCCCGGTTGAGGCGTCGAGACTGCTGTCTGTGTCTGAGGCCAGGGTCTGCTCAGTAGACATGGATGAAATGTCATTGATAGATGATGACCGAGAAGGAGTGGCGTTGCTGCTTACTGCTGCATCTGTGCTAAGAAAACCAAGTATAATAAAATCTGAGGCACGACATTGCTGCAAATTCAGGCAATGAGACTTCAGGCCATTTCTCAGCTCTGTCCCTTTGTAGTCTCCTATCCTAATTATTAGTATAAATAAGAAGTTAGTCAACTGCCCATTTTAAATTTTTCCCGGAGTCTTTCTTTAGGCCCAGAATCTCAAATATCCCTCTGTCCTTCCTTGCAACATTCTCCTTGTCTTCCCAGTGGCTAAACATCATACATGTGCTCATGTATAACCATGTTAACTACTTAAAAAATACCTGCTGCTTTAAAAAAGGTATTAAAAGAAAATTGCTGAATTTATCCTAAAACTATCAGTATCACAAAAGGCTTAAGCCCAAATAGAATTCAAATGTCATCAGACATTTCAATTGTAATCATAAACATTTATGAGAAAAGCATCAACTTTTGAAGGAAAGGAAAAAAGCATAAGCCTTTGAAAAATTTTTTTGCAATAAAAACACCTTCTAAAGTAAGGACAGTATACAAACAAAAAAGAAAGAAAAAAATTTAGTGGCCTCTTGTTCATTTTATTTTGTTTTATAAATCCTGAAAACTGACATTTTGAGGCAAATGAAACTATCTTATTTCTTACTATCTATATTTTAGTCTGGTTTGAGTAAAAATAAAACATCCAGATTCTCAGAGGTCAGTGTTTGCAGTCTTAAATTTGTGCTTCGTTAACAAGCCCCTAAATTCGTACTAAAGTTATATAATCTCTAGACGCTTGACACATACGTCATGCTGAATGTAAAATTCAAGAACGAGAAGTAAGCAGTGCAATTTGCACTTCTGCATGTGTGCGTGTGTGTCTGTGCACTTTCCAGGGGGAGTGGGGTGAGAAAATAAATCACTAAAGCGCTTCATTTAGTAAATAGGTAGAATGCTACAGACACTGGTTAACACCACACATGTTATGTCCCTAATAATCATACAATTACCTAATTGTTAGTCAGGCTTCTACCACTAGGTAGATCAAGGAGAAAAATGGGAGAATTACATGAACAATTTTCTCAAAAGAAAATCAAATTCTATTTTACCTAGATTCACATTTTTTTTTCTTTTTTTTTTTGGTGAGGAAGATTCCCCCTAACATCTGCTGGCAATCTTCCTATTTTTTTTTGGTTTGAGGAAGATTAGCCCTGAGCTAACATCCAAGCCAATCTTCTTCTACTTTGTATGTGGGATGCCTCCACAGCATGGCTGATGAGTGGAGCATGTCCACGCCTGGGATCCGAACCTGCGAACGTGGGCTGCTGAAGTGGAGCACATGAAACTTTAAGCACTTGGCCATGGGACTGGCCCCTAATTTTCTTTTTTAACTGGCTGGGGCCAAAAAAAGAAGGTCATGCACATTGAAACGGTTTTAAATTCAATTTCCTCCTCTACAAATGGAGTTCACAGCAGCTGTTGCAAGGATGAAACAAGAATGTTTATAACGCAGTTAGTTTGCTGCCTGGCAGGCACATCAGTAAAATGTTAGCTGCCACCACTGGGACAAAACAAAAGAGAGGAAACTATTTCACAAAGGAATTTTCAAACCCACTGCTGGTCAAGCTGGCACTTAAGACACTGCCATTTATACAAGTTGAAAGGGGAAAGAAAAATATTACACAAGCAAACGATTAGAGCGATCACTAACCTGAAGGCTGATCTTTCACAACACCATTCTTGCTCCTTTCTTCCCAATCCATTACTTCTTTGTAAATTAGCTCTTCAAACAGAAATGCAAGTTAAAGTGCTTCATCAGTTTCTTTGCATCTCTAAACCCTGCTTCCAAATCAACGGAACCACCCCAAGGGCACTGTGATGCGTTCTTTTTAAGTGTGATATACTTTAATTCGGTAATAGAGTTCACCTAGACCCAAACACCCATGTTTTGATCCATTACATGTTTGCAATCCAACTATTAAGGCAGCCAAAAACGTAGGCTAGTTCTGGATCCATGAGGGGTTTTTACAGAGAGAGAGGGAGGGGGAGGGAGGAGACCAGCAGAGTGGCCTCAGAGAACATCTGAAAGCACCGTTTGCACACGTTTCTCTCCATCAGTACTTATGGTTCTCCAAATGTCACCAGCACCCACGGGTGGGCTAGAAGCTCCTCTAGATTGTCCAGAAATTAATCTATATACCTAAGTCTTTTCTTGGCTTCAACCTCAGTTTTCCTCAGTTTTCACTTGTAAGAAAAACTGTTTACCTATCAAATAAGCTATTAGGGGGTTCCTAAAATTTTGGTATTCATGAAATAATATTAGCACATTGCCTCCTAATAAGGAGGCCCACGAGCCAGCCTTTTGCCACTGAGTATGGCTATGTGCACTGCCATGCTGAGTGTGCACATGTAGGTCACGGGCACTCTCGACATCCTGGGGAGGGGCCCTTGGGCAGGACACAGCACAACTTCTGACTTGTGCTGACCACAGCTCCCAATTACTACCGATTTGGCTTTTTAATGCAAAAGTTTTAGTTCAGACTCTTTATTACTGGTTTAGTTTGTTGCGGGCTGTTTGAGTAATCTTACAGTGGTAATAATATTTACATATTTTTGAGCTGCAATTTTCCCCTAACTCTATTTTAAAGCATATATACAAATCCATGGCTTACAGACAGAGCAGCACTCGCAGGCCCCGAGCGGCTCCCCCATGTCTCTTTACAGGGGCCTGCGACTTGGGATTACTCAACAGTCTGCGTGCAGCACGCTAACAAGAGAAGTATGGCAGTCGCTCAACTTAGTTTAGAAGGGAAGATTTGATAATGTAAAGTTATGTGCAAAAGCCCTTATTTTTCTCTTCCGAAGCAAATAATATGCAATTCATACATGTTCCTCTAATTCTGTTCTCTTGAAGCTCTTTTTCTACTGGGAAGTGGGAAGACAGGATAAATGGGCTGCGGGGTCTCTCACCCCTCTCCTAGAAAGGCTACTGTCAAAAAGTGAAAACCTGCCCCTTTGCACGACTTCAAGAAATGTCATAAGTAAGGATCAAAATAGGCTCTGTCTTTACCTTTCCATTCTTCAATTGCATGTTCTCTTTCTTCCAACTGGGCATCATAAATTTGAGGTGGTGGCTAAAAATTAAATTACATGTAAAGTCAACAGTTCAAAAACTAACGAGGCATGAAGAAAAAGGTAGAATCACCTTCTAATCTATTTCTGATATGGATGTAGTTTCATTCAATACATGATTAAAGATTTCTTCATAAATGTGGTATATCAGTTTCAGAATCAAAATAATTAAGGAAAAATTAACCAAAACGATAGAGCTACTATGGTCCTGTTAATAATTACATGATCTCAAAACACTCTAAAGACATTTGCCCAAATGTAAGTATAAAATTGGTAACCACAGGCTGCTTCCTAGAGGCCCACCCTGCACAAGGCACTGTGCTAGGAAACGTGAATGGCGCAGAACACAGCTCAGGTTACAGTTCTCCCTGTTAGAATTCCCAAACCCAGGCCCCTCTCATAAAGGGACTGTTCCAAAATTTACTTAAAAATCACATGTTTATAAATCGGATTCTTTTGATATAAAACAATGTTTAAAATGGTGGTTAAATGCACATCTAGGACATAAGAATGTGTTCCACCGACGGCATAAAATAAGCATGTCACACTGTGGTTATGGCACTTGCAGCTGAAGATCACCCATACGGTGCCGCTATGGAAAAATGCACGTGAGCGTCACACTCAGAGGTGGGATTCCCCAAGCAGGTGCCTCTGGGGAAGGACAAGCAAACCTGGGATTTTCAGCAAGTTTCTTAGCCTTGATTGGTGCCTAAACAAGATGATGTGACCAAAGCCCAAGGTACAGAGCCAGGCACACACAGAACGGAGGCTTAAAACTGGTGATACCATGCTCGCACATCAGCATTTGCATAAATGAAGACAATGCTGTCACCACAGCATGAGCATGTTCACTCCCAGGTTCTGTGAGCTGGAGCCCCAGCAGCAATGGTCCCAAAAGAGGCTGTGACCCATGTCCCATGCTCTCTTTGTAATAAGGAGTCCTGTTCAATCCAGGACTTGCTATCATATGTAGCCATTCCGGACTAACAGACAGGAGAGCCAAGGAAATGCAGGCCCTGCCTCTATAGAAAGTCTTTCCAAGACAGATGCTTACCGCCTCTGCCTCTGCAGGGTCATACCAAACCGTGATGTAGGGGTGACGCAGGGCCTCGTCCACAGAGATCCGCCTGTCGGGGTCGATCACTAACATCTTTGATAACAAGTCTCTGGCTTGACTTGCTAGAGTAAAAACAAATATTACATTCATAAACTAATGCTGTTGATCTGAAAACCACACAATAAAGAACTAAATGTGATAGCACAGACAGAACGAAGATGTATTATCTCTGATACATTTTTGATAGGTTCAAGAATAACAGACCTTTCTCTTTAAGAGTAAGTCAAGCAGCCACTTTCACCACAAACCAGGCTTTCAAATGTGGTTTCAGCCTCTGGCCCGGGAGAGGGGAGGACAGGGCCCGGGCTGAGCAGCGTCGTGCGCACAGGAGCTGAGCTAGGATGTCAGTGTGGAGAGTGCAGGCGTGAAGCATGGTGTTTTCTCTTGATGTCACATCACAATGAAATGAGAACAGACCCTTTAGTGTAGAACACTTCACAGGTGCCCTTGCTTTGCCTACCTGTATATGATGTTGGCAACATACACTTTTTTAAAAATCTAGACATCAGTAGTTAGAAAAAACCAGCAAGTTCAACAACTTAGTTAACTACAAGGCTCCTCCAGGTCTCGGCAATTAAAGTCTGCGCAGCTGAGCAGAGGGGAGGTGGGGCTTTTCTGATGAGGCACACGTGACCCAGATGTGGAAAGAAACAAATCTCTCCTTTTCCCTTAAATCACGTTTTAGTGATGGGCACAGGAGAAGGTGAGGAGGAGCTTTTTTACTGAACTACCATAATAGGGTTTCTGACTCTTCAACTGGGCTAGAATCTTTATTCAAGTGCTCTATATTCCTGAAAACTTTTTGAATTCCAATTGCTGTAATTAACATAAGAGTCTTTCAGGCTGATGTGAATATTTTTATTTTAGCCTTAGGCATTTTTTAAGCCATTTTACTGAGGACAAAACTTTCAGGTCTTGAAGGTTTCTCTGTGCAATGCCTTCATTCTAGCCTGTAAGTGACTTTATTTGAGGGTTTTGATTATTTTATCTCTCAATGTTTACGGTTTTAGACGCAAACATGAAAAAGTAAAAGCTTCACCAGGTTATGAAACAAATATAAGGAAAAAGGATATCTTACTTTTTATTTTGTCTCGTTCCGATTCTGATGGGAATATCCAATCTGGAAAGAGTTCTTCAAATTTGATTCCAGGATACTTGGGTCTGTTTTCTACGTAATTCCTCACAGTTGGCTGAAGTTTCTTCATGAAATCTGCGGACGGTGTTCCCAGCTGCTCAATAACTTTATTCCACTGATCAATATCTAAGGAGTCTCTTGAGGAAAATACAACTGAAAGGTCTTGTATTCATATTACATCAAGTAGCATCATTCAAAGAAAAACTTAAATTATATTTCTACCTGTTGACGAGTAGTTAACTAGGCTACCCTACTGGGTCAGTAGAGGCATTTTGAAATAATATTCAAATAAGATCTGGGTTTCAAGTTTAGAGTATTTTTAAAAACTCTTACACCCTGCATCTTTATTACTATGATCACAATTTATGAAATCAACACAATGAGGTCTATCTGCTTTTCCATTCTAGATGAAAATCAAGCTATCTCATCACTGAAGAATGCCTATGCCAGAAATGCTTCAACATGCAATTAGATAGTAATAACACAGGAAAATTGAAATCAGTTTTCATACCAAAGCTGAGTTAGATCTACGGCTCCTAAAGCAGAGAGACCGAGGGACTCCTGGGTTCACAGCTGGGGTACCAGCAGCTGCAGCTGGCCTGGCAGGGGGTGCGTGAGGGAGGGAGGAGGAGTCTTCTGAGCCCTCCCCACGTCCCTTCCCTGGGGACTGCATACCTTCCTGTGGCTGGGCTTACACTGAGCAGTGATAGCTTTGAGAGGTCATTCTCTTTTACTTGGCATTGACCCCAACCATCACTGCAATACCTAGCAGTGTGTCTTATTTCCTTTCAAACTACATGACCTGGGTTTCAGACTCCACTGTGCACTAGACACTCATTGGTGTCAGGCAATCACTCTACCTTGGGTCTCAACTTCCTTATTTGTAACATGCAGATAATACCAGCTTTGCCTTTTAGACAGGGGGCTTGGGATAGCTGGCATAATGAGCGTGGAAAGTGATTCTGAAACTGTAAACAACTGTAAAAGAGAATGCAAGCCAGAAGAAATCATATAAACAGCAGCTTTAAAAAATGACTAATTGAGGCATGTCTTAGAAAAATGAAATTACATCACTGTGAAAGAAGCTAGGGAGCAGAGACATGTTCTTCCAAAGAATAGAGAAGACTCAGTCTTTCTAAAACATCAGTCTTCTGCAGACCTGCTCGGGAAATGGGTTTGGACATTCAAACCACTCGCATGTTCTTTCTCTGTTCATACATGTTGCCGAGTCAGAATTTTGCCTACAGTTTATTTACTTATTTAGCCAAAACAGGAAAACAATTCCACACCTCTGCCTCTCTCCTTATCCTTCCTACACCTCTCCCCATACACACTCCTCGCTGTGCATGCTACCCCAGGCACAGCAGAAGCCCGTGGACTGCCTGCATGAGTGCCCTTCACTGTGGCCACGCCTGCTCACCTCAGACTCTGCGCCCTCTGTCTCCTCAAGGACGCTGCTCCAGCAATTGCTTCTTCTCACTGGTATGCCATTACCATTCTGCTCTCTATTGGAGCATTCCACCACCAATCAAACGTGATTCTTTTTTCTCCCATATTAAAACAACGGCCACCTTCTTTCGGTCCCATATCTGCTACTTAGCTATCATTCTTGTTTGCAGCAAAAAAGAGTTGAGTACTTGCATCTCTATTTCCCAGCCTCTCATTCTCTCTTAAACATCCTCTCATCAGGCTTTTCCCCCATCACTCCGTGAAAATGTACCCAGTGAGGCTGCTGGTGACTGTCCCTCAATCCAGTGGTCAATCCTGAGACCTCAGCTTTGTAACGGTGTCAAGGAGTCTTCCTCAGTAACTCGCTGCCTGGCCTCCAGTGCTCTTTGAGAGGCACCATCCCTGGCGGGCCCGCTCAGCTTCCTTTCCTATTCCTCTTTTCTCTGTCACCCCAGGAGCTTAGCCCTCCTCCTTTGCTCTTCTCTCTCTCAGCACTCGCTACCAGTTTCAAGGCTTCACAGACTACTGGCAGACTGACGACCCTCACCTTTATTTCTCCATCCAGACCTCTCTCCTGAACTCTGCTCTTGATATTTCCACTAACGGACATCTCAGAATCCTAATAAGGCTCTCTGACGTGCTGACCTTCAAACAGATGCAGAGTTCAAGCCCACCCCCGCCTCACTTCCCCCATCCTGGTCTTCCTGCTTCTCCCTCACCCTGATGGTGTTAGCAGCAAGGTGATCCTTTTCCAATGGAAGTCAGAGAAGAGCCAAGAAACGGGTGGGCGCTTAATACATGTCTACTGGATTCATGGTAAAGGGTCATTTTTATAGACTACAGGGAGGTGGGAAAGGGGAGGAGAATCCCAACAGCCTGGCTGACCCGGGTTGTGTGCATGTACCTTCGGTCACTCCACCACCACAGGTCTCTCATTGTACCAAAGGGGAACTGAGGCTCCGAGGGGCCCTGACTCCTCGACGTGCACAGTTACCAGGTGGGAGTCAGATCTGGGGCCCCAGGTGGTCTGGCTAACGTTTTCTCTTTCTCAAAGACCACGTGGGGACAAAAGTTCCTTTTCTACCCCAGGTCATCAATCTGTAGCAAATCTCTGAGAAGAACTTCAGTCAGGTTTCTGGAATCTTTTTCTATCCTAATAATTTTTAAACTAATGTTTGAAAAAGTTGGCAAAATTTTCCTTGGAAAATGATGTTAATTTCTATGTGTGTTTTGAGAATGACATTAGGTGATCTTATACATAAAACTGCTAATTACTAACATTGCATGATGTTAATATGCAAAGTAGGAATTTTAAATTACTTAAGAATGCAACAAAAAGTACCCACATTTTTCATTTTTGTACTTTGTGAAGAAAACATTTCTTAATTAATAAAAAAAGAAAAGGTACAAAATAAATAAGAATTGAGACAAACAGAATGTTAAGTAGATACTTTTAAATTATTTACCTTTAGAATATATCAACTTTTCCCTTTTTAATTGAGTTTATTTGCAAATAAACATCTCTTTATTTGCAATTTGAAACACGTGAATCTAAGGTAAGGCTATGGAAACTGGTAGAAAATTTGTTAAAATAAACTGCTGTATTTTACTTTACATAAAATCTGTGATGCAGAAAATGTAAAGAAAGGTAAATAAAATGACAGGAATAAAATCTCATTCCAAGTTTCTGTTGTGAAGAATTTATATTACAAGAAAACTACCCTCATAAAATTATAGCAAACTAAAATCACTTTAATAAAATACATACCAAACACTGACTATACAACCTGATTTCCTTTAAAAATAACCAGTAATTTACCAATGGACAGAGACCACTTTAAGCTTTTATAACGGAAAATAAAATCAAAGACTAATGAAAATATTAAGTGGTTAGCAGACAAATGAAAAAGGGTATATGTGAAGAACCATGTTAGAGTAAAAAATATTAAAGATGGAAGAACGACTCTATGAAGAAAGCAAGCTGTTATATTATCTATTCTCCTTTATGCTATATGTCATAAATATGATTTGCTGAGCACAGTGAAAGTTAATCTTCTGCATTTTATATTTATTTAGACTCCCCCAATGTGTCACAAAATAACCTTCTAGATGGATCTTTTAAAAAATTTCCATGAAATGGCAGCAGACAAACAAGAAAATTTACCGTATGTTGCTCCTCACAAACTTTTCATTTTAATCTTGTTCACTCAGGTCTTATGCAGAGTACGTCAGTTCTTACTTTGGGGGAAAATATTTCAATATTTTCAATACTGATAACTAACAAAATAGTATATTAATTAAATTACATAAGAATACTGGCTTATTAAATTTAGATAGCAAGTTTCCTAGGTAAATTAACTGAATGAACTAAATAAACAGTATTTTCATTTAAATACAAGAATACATTGTCACAGAGTAAATAATTTCTTATACACTACTTTTGATAGAATTAAGAGCTAATATAATTGGTTTAACTTAACTCTAAGCCTCAATAAAATCATTACAGGTAGCCAAGTAAAAAAACCCCCAAAAATCTGAAATCAAGCCATTGGGTGTGCGACACTAACTTAGTAAACGCAATGAGCCCCTTAGAACGGTCTCGAGCTAGGACCCCTCCTAGCACCCCGTGCCTGTGGCATTCATGAAAGCACGGCCGGGAAGGCCCTGGGAAGGATACGGTCCGTGCCTTGGAATAGCACACAACCTTTCACCAGCTCTCCCATGATGCAACCCACTGACCAGATATCAACTGAAAATAAAGTGAAATGACAAAATTATGAAGTGCCATGAACAAAACAAAGGTGAGGAAAAGGAACTCTAACAGTGTACTAAACACACAAATATGAAAAAATAAACTGCTAGCTAAGGGTGGACTTTTTACACAATGTGAGTGATTGTCAACCTCTGTTTTAGGCTTCAGTTTACAGCAATGTGGAGTTTTAGTGCCAAAGATTCCCATAGTTCACAGCTTAAAAAACAAACAAAAACCCAGAAACGAGTGCCTGTCCTCAGGCCACACCCACCCCGCCCCCTGCGCCCTGTGCCGGCGCTAGGTCTCTCCCTGTGAAGGATACAGTCTCTTCCTGGGAACAGGACTTTATGGAGGACCATTTCTGCCATGATGCACCCGACAGACCAGATGTCCACTACCAAACACCAGGTGATTAAAACCAGCCCGACATCCCCACACACCTTTTCTCAAACCCCCTCCCAAACAAAGACAAACACGGCTTGTCAACGGGACCATTTGTTTGATAAGGACCCCCGCCTCCGGAAGCATCCTTTTCTAAGCTGCCAGTCAGCAGGGCCTCACAGGGGCAGGCCTGCTCTTCTGGGCTCCAGGGGAGGCCTGGTTAGAGGCGCCTGACTGTCAGCCCTTCACCCTCTTCTGTGGGGCCCAGCTGAAGCCCAGGCCTCAGAGCGGGCAGAGGGCTTCGTAGGTGCCCTGCTGCTGGAGGTAGGTGGGAGAAGCTGAGTGGGGCTCTAGTTCTCTCTCACTTCCACAGGAGACAACAGGAAGCCCAAAGAGCTGTCTCTCAGTGGGGAGCACAGGCTGCAGAGCATCCAAGCAGACTTGTAGCAAAATGCATTTCAGGTGACTTGGGCAACCTTGCAGACTTTTATTTTTGCTGAGGAAGATTCACTCTGAGCTAACACCTGTGCCCATCTTCCTCTATGTTGTATGTGGGTCACTGCCACAGTGTCAGCCTTTTTTTTAACAAGTCAATGTAATTTAGTTCTTTTCAACAAATTTGTCAAAAGCTAAGTTTCAAAGAGCTCTGATATTGCTTGAATAAGTTAAGTTTTGATGTTAAAAAACATCAATTTTACACAAAGGAGAACATGCTGCATTATTCCATTTATATCAAGTTCAAAAATAAGTAAAATCAATCTACAGTGCTGGAAATGAGGATACCAGCTTCCCTTGGGGGTTAAGACCCAGAGGGCACCTGGAGAGGCCTCGGCTGCTGCTGGTTATGAGGATGAGCTCCACTGAGCCACACACTTGGGGTTTCTATACTTTTCTGTAAGTATATTATATTTGATAAACGTTCAAAAATATTAACTTCAAAAGTGAGTTTTTAAAAGTGAATGATTTTAACCAATGGAAATATAAAATTAATTGTTTCTTATCTCTGGACTACGATAACCCATGCATAATACAGTGCTCATATTATATTTCATATGGTTCACAGGAAAGATAAAACACCAGTAATGATGAACGCACTATTTTTAAATATCTCAGCCTCTTCCAGCCCCGCCTGTACTCACCGTTCTCCTTGTAGCCCATGCCCAGGATGACTTCTGGTGCCCGATAATACCGCGTTACCACATAGGGGGTCATCATAAAGTTGGTGCATGCTGTCCGGGCCAGGCCGAAGTCAAGGATCTTAAGGGTGCAGTCTGATTTCACTACGATGTTGCTAGGTTTCAAATCCTAGGACAAAAATGGTTTAAATTAATAAAATGAACCAAAGCATGATAAATAAATAACCTCAACTGGGAAGGACGTGCGAAGTCACTGACTACTGAAATGAGAGCGCCACAGAAGGAGGAAATTTAGAACTAAACCTTGGGATTCTGGAAGGATTTTGGAAAATCCTACTCTCAAATTCAAACTAACACAAATCAGCCAGAAGAAGTCAGATGGCTGCCCTCACCCCTATGTGGAAACCTTCATGGTCTTCCTTTGCTTAAAACCTGAAAGCTTCCACACCCCACTCCTCCTTCCTTCCCTCACTCGTGGTCACCCTGCAGTTCCCCCAGCACTCCAGGCTCTGCCCCACTGTCCAAAAGAAATACAATGCAAGCCACGTATGTAATTTATATTTTCTAGTAGCCACCTTAAAACAAGTGAAAAGAGGGCCAGCCCCAGCGGCCTAGTGGTTAAGTTCAGCGCGCTCTGCTTCAGTGGCCCAGGTTCGGTTCCTGGGTGCACACCTACACTGTTCTTTTAGCAGTCATGCTATGCTGGTGGCCCTCATACTAAAAAATAGAGGAAGATTGTCCTGGATGTTAGCTCAGGGCAAATCTTCCTCAGGAAAAAAAAAGTGAAAAGAAACAGGTAAAATTAATATATTTTATTTAGTCCAATATATTCATAGTATTATCATTTCAAAATGTAAGCTACCTATAAAAATGATCAGATATTTTACATCTTTTTGGTACTGTCTTTGAAATCCAATTATGGCCACATTCTGAGTGCTCAATAGCCTCGTGTGGCTAGTGGCTACCATACTGGAAAGCACAGGACCAGAATCCTCTGACCCTGGAATCTTCCAATGGTTCTTTCTTTCCTTGGAAGAAGCACTCCATGATCACCAAGCCTACCTCCCCAGCCCCTTTCCCGGGACCCACTGCACACACCACATCTCACCCTCCCCGTGTGGTCTCTGTGAGAGGAGATGCTTGCTCTGCTCTCAGCTCCCAGACCCAAGCCTGACAGCAGAACTCAGAAGACGCCACACTCCACCACCCTCTCGATGCCTTAACACAACTTCTGTAGTGTTCCCCTCAAACCTCTAGGGCTGCTCTTCATGCTAATCCCCACACCCCAGATCCTTCCTCAGGCCACAGGAATTTGACTTTCACCTGCGACTCCAGCCTGCAAACTCACCCTAAAAACTGTGACTTTTACACAGTCCACAACTATTCTTCTCACAAGAGTTTTCCAATGTGTGGCTGCAATGCCAAACTGCCGAGTCCCGCCACACAGTGGGACCTGCAAGGACTTTAAGTGTGACGTTTCAGGCCCAGCTCCTGGCTAAAACTTTCCAGCTGATGTGCCACAGATTGGCACCGGTGTGCTTCGAGACAGTGAGGGCTGCCAAGAGTTATCAGGATAAGCAGAAAACCCTTTAAAATTTACAACAGCTAAAACTATGGTTCATTACCATTAAAGGCTCTCTTTCTAAACGTCCGGATTTAGTAAAACATAACTTTACAATTCTGAAAAAAAACAGTGAATATTCCCACCAAGCCCCGTGTGGACGCCAGGTCCCTAACTGGCCCCAGCGCACCGTGTGGACCCCACTTTCTCCCACACGTATCCTCACGGGGGAGGTCCCGGGAGTGCCGCCATGCCTCACCCACAGCGGCTGATCTGCACAAAGGACAGCGGGGAAGAGTCAGGCCCACACTCAAACCAGACGCCCTTCTCCATGAGGGGTGGTAATGCAGCTCAGGCAAAATGGACCAATTCGTTTCCAGTTTCCTTTCATAAAGCTAAAGCATATGGCAAGAACAGGCATTTTAGAATACAAGTTACTAACAGATAAAATAATGCTCAACTTAATGAATTAAAAAAACAAACAAAAACCCAAACAACAAGGAGCCTTTTTTAGTGTCTCCTGCGGCAATGAGGAGAATGGTGACCTCCAGTGCCCGCAGGAGAAGCAGAAGCAGACCCCTCCTTACACTGTCGCTGGGGCGTCAATAGGAGCTTTCTCTTTAGGATGCTGGCTTTTTAAAAATGTGAAACAGCTGCACTTTCCCCCCCAGCCCCTGAGACCCGCCCTGGGCTGGAGCTGAAGCAGAGTCACACAAACAAGGATGGTCAGAGCAGCGCGGCCAGCCAGCTCCAGGGATTGCAGAGTGAACCAGAAAACAGGCCCAGCTCCAGCCACTTCAACCTGTCAGAAAATTGTCGTCTCGCACTGATTTTGTTGGAACAACACACTTTACTGCCATCTGCCGGAAAACTATGATAATAAAATGCAAATCAGGCCATCGATGATGTGGACAGTCTTCCTGGCAGGACCAGGACAGGTGGCCGCCTTCTGACGCTTGCCAATGGGGAGGTGCATAAAGGGGTCCCAGGGCTCCTGAGGGCTCCCCACACGCAGAGCCACTCTCCCCTCAGCCTCCACATGTAACCAGAGGCAGTGTCCCCAAACGAACCGGACGTGCAGCTTCAAGGTGGCAGAGTAAAGACGGTTCTGCCCCTTCAAATCTTGAAAACCACCCCAAAGAAGAAACACATGTTAAAGTACAAATGACACCTGAATTTGGGGGCTTGATCAAAAAGATATGGGGATGGCTAAACAGAGTATGGCACCCCTGGGCAGCCAACAAGGGTGTACAAGCATCTGTCACCAAAGAAGGGCAAGAGCAGAGGATGGGAGGTCGAGGGCATCACCCCATAAACCAGCACCACTCCTGGTCAGTTCTCAGATCAGAACCCATCAACCAGAGAGGTGTCCTAGGGCGGACTCTGTGCTTCATGACAAGCGTCTGCTGCCTGGATTTCCCCACAGGTATCTATGGCTGCTTACTCGGGGACTGTACCCCGGGACAAGAGACTAAGCAGACATCTGAGGGGCTACTGGACACAAGTTCTGAGTGGACACTGAAACTCGAAGACTCAAAGCATCATCATGCCTCCTCCACTCAGAAGGGGTGGGGCCAGGTAATGGATGGAGGCTGGACCAGATCTTTTCCGGCTACAGTATGACAAAATTGGCCCAGGGCAAAACTCTGAAAGAACATTGCTGTCCGTCCCACATGAGTGCGAATGGTTTCTGATCCTCTTTTCTAATCAGTATGGAAGAAGGCATTTGCCCAATCACTGGCTACATGCTCTACCCGAGGCTTTACTAATTTATCTGCACTACAACTAGCCCGTGTCCAGCACAGCAGCTGCCATCAGGACTACTAGCTGGTTAAGTTCTCTAGGATCCATTTAGTTTCTTCAAGGGCCGGACTAGTGAATTAAACCGAGAGATGAGACAGACCACCGTCCTTGCATCCTTTAGGTTTTAATGGTGGCACTAATCTCCTCCACCCTCCCGCACCCCCAGAGTTCAATACTGTTGTGATTTATTATCCTGAGGGAGGCAGTTTCAGGTTTCCAATTGGCCCTCTCCTCACAGGCTGAAGAATCCACATTCTTGGGTCACCCCAACCACCAACTGTATCAATTCCAATCACACATTTGGGAACTGGGGAGATGACTGCTGGGTGGGTCCATGAACTCAGTGGCCCATTGTGAGCCTCTAGCCTCAGACCTCTGAGGAACGAAAGTCTGGGTCACATCAGGAAGCCACAGAGAACTGCCAAGGGCATGGCTGAGGGTATGGCTAACAGAGAAGGGAGAGAGTGAGTACCTGTTGCGACCCCGAGAGTGACTGCAGTGACAGGGGCTATAGTTCATCCCACTAGCCTTCTCCTCAGGAAGAGAGGAGGCCCTGGAGAGCATGAGGGAGCTGCTCTTGACCTGTGTGCAGGAGAGGTGAGAGGGGCAAGGGTAGACGGTGGTGGCCACGAAAATGCTTACTCGGCTCTCCCGTTGTAGGAGTGCAACTGTCAGACGCCCCCACTGGGCGCTCCAACCATCCCCTCCGCTCACGCCAGGGCCACACGCCCATGGTGGCTCTCAGCCAATGAGGCAGGAGGCCCACTCCTGTGAGACACCAGACCCCTCAGATGGGTGGTTCAAAGCCTCTGGGGCCGGGCAAAGCCTTCTGCGGGCTACACAGGAGCCTGCGGCTCTGCCCCTAACCCTCCTTTGTCATATCTCCCTTCTAAGGGGTCAGACCCGTGCTGCCCTCTGCCAGCCTCCCCACCTCCTTCAACTTGCTCCCCATTCTTCTTCACAGGCCTTCTCCCAACACATCTTTTGCATGTCTAATCCCATTGTCGCACACTAATGCAGTCGCTGAAAAACTCCACAGACTCCATGGGGGTGGAAAGCGGGGCAGAAGCAGTAAATGGAGGCCGAATGGAGGAAATTCCAACCTCAGTGAGTGGCCCACAGGGAGGTGATGTGGACCACAACACCCAGGAAAGGCTCAGGAGGTGAATGACAGGCACTGCAGAGGGCAGGGTGAGGCAGGGAATAGGACAGTGAGGGGTCCTTTTTTTTTTGGAAAGTCCACATAGAGGTAAAGGCAGACCTCCCAGATGCCTAGCTCCATCCTAGAAGAGGCTTTGGCTCCTTCTTCGCTCCTAATGGCCCATTATCTAGAAAAACTGAAATCGAGTTTGCAGACTTGGGCCTCAGGCACAATAACAACAGAGGTAACTGGTATGAGGCACAGCGAGGGGATGGGTGAGGGCCCAGCCTGAAGACAGGGCTCTGGCACTTGAGAACCCCAGCCCCACCCCGCACAGCCCTCTCACACTGGCAGCCAGGCTTACAACCCTCAGTAAAGAGACCATAGGAGGCTTTTCCAGAGAAGCTAAATGATGCCCAGAGAAAAGACCTACAAACAGAGATGCCTGTGGCCACCTGCTACCTCAGGAAAAACCCATCATGCCATAATCCCAAACCGTGCACTCCCACTTGTCTGTCTTAGACAGTATCAGACGACGAAGGATTGCCCTTTTTGGGGAAAGCCCTGCATGTGACAGAGACCAAACACACCAAAAAAGGGACGCAGGGGAAAGAAAAGCCATGCAGGGAGCAATAAAAAACTTCAAAGAAAATTACCCTCAGAGAGAGGACAGCGCATTCATGCAATAAGAACAAAATGCTATAAAAAGGAACTTTTAAGGATAAAAAAGACGTCCAACCAGCTAGTGCTTCACAGAAAGAGAGAACAAAGAACAGTAAAGAGGGCGTCCTGAAAGAAATAATACAAATTTCTCAGAGCTCTATGGCATGTCCTTCCAGACTGAAGGGCCTACCAAGTGTCCACTACAATTAATGAAAAAAATGTCCATATCAAGGCATATCGTCATAACATTTTAGAATACAAAGAATGAAGAAATGGGGGCCGGCTCCGTGGCTGAGTGGTTAAGTTCGTGCGCTCCGCTGCGGCGGCCCAGGGTTCAGATCCTGGGCGCGGACATGGTGCCGCTCATCAGGCCACGTTGAGACAGCGTCCCACGTCCCACAACTAGAAGGACCTGCAACTAGGATATACAACTATGTACGGGGGGTTTGGGGAGATAAAGCAGAAAAAAAAAAAAGAAGATTGTCAACAGTTGTTAGCTCAGGTGCCAATCTTAAAAAAAAAAAAAGAATGAAGAAATGATTTTAAAAGCTTCCAGAGATAAAACAAAACCCAAAACAGGGCACTTGCAAAGGATCAGTGATAAGAATGGCGTTAGAAAGCTGAAAAGCCAGACTAGATGCTCACGCTACCACAGGATACTGCGTCTAGAACTCTGAGGGCAACTGAGCTGTAACCAAGAATTTTATATCCAACCAAACTATTATTAATCACAGGACAGGGCAGAGTCTCCAAAAAAATTTACCACCCATGCACCACTTCTGGGGAAGCTATTGGAGGGTGTGTTTCATCCAAACAAGGGAGTAATTCAAGAAAGAGAGAGACAGAGGTCAGGAAGCAGGGAATCCAACACCAAGAGAGGGGAGGAATCCCAGGGAAATGCTGGGCGAGGTATAGGACAACATGGCTGCATCAGGTCCGGGGGCGCCAGTCCAGGGAGCAGGACGCAGGCCCCAGGATACATGAAACTGATGAAATAAGACACTTGCATCCATTGAGAGAAGATTCAGACAGCTGGCAGAAAGCTTAGGGTTAAATCAGCAATAGGAACATAGAAAACTACTTCCTCCTTGAAAAACAAAACAAAACACCAAAGACTAAAACTCAAACAAATAAAAGACGTGTTGCTAATTCTAGGGACAAACAGTTGAGATGAAAAGAAACAAATTCACGGTATAAACATAGGATCAGGTATGAAAAGCATTTACGTGGTCATGATGACATAAAGCGCACTATGGATACTTACACACACCCAATGACACCGTCACTATGCTGGGAGGGCAGAGGGACAGGAAAGGCGGTGGGGTGAGGGCCGTGGTTGGTGAGAGAGCTCAATCAGTACGCACTGACCCAAACTAAAGAAAGATCAATGAGTAGAGATCTACTCACACCATTTCAAGGTAGGGAGATAAACACCAAAATAACAGCTAAAAGAACCAAAGGAGTTTCCTTCTGGGGAGAGAGAAATAAGAGCGAAGAGGTGGGGACTCCGTTTTTTCACAGATATTAGTAAAGCTATTTGATCCTCGATAAAAATAAAAATACAAAACAAATGAATCAATGCAAGTTGCAGAACCATTATGTACAAGATGATCCCGTTTTTGGAAAAATGTAAGTTAAAAAGGACATAAGTGTAAACAAATAAGTTGGTATTAGCATAAGCAGCAAGATGGTGTCAATGTAGTGTCAGGAAGGAAACGCACCCAACCGCTATCACTGGTCACTTCCAGGTGACACGGAGGGCTGTGAGACTTTCATTTAACTTTTTGAATTATATAAAGTAAAAAGTGGTGGGATTACAGGTGTTTTATTTTTCAAATAATTACATTTTATGTTTAGTATAAACCATTTTAATAAGCAAAGTTCAAAGTGTGTATCTATGTGTGTGGTGTCATATGCAGGAGGAAGGACTGGAAAGGCTCACAGAAACCGTTAACACACTAAAGGGCTAAACTGTCCACCACCTCTTGGGACCTGGAGGGGTCAGAGGGTGGCAAATAGGGGCCTTTTACTACTTGCTCTATCCACCTTTCCCACAATGAGCAGGAAGGACCTTCGCAGACAATGGGGGAGGAGCCGGGCGGGGTGGTGAGGAGGATGGAGAGGCCGTTTGCAGAATCATGCTGGGCACCAAACACTTCTTTGGACCCTATCTGACCTCCTGGGCAGCGGCGACAGAATGTTTCCTCACACAGGCTCGCGTGCTGGCAAGGCCCCAGGAATGGGGGGATAGTGCTTTCCTGCATCTCTCCGGGCCCAAGAGGGGAGAAACAAGGAAGGCAGAACCAATTCCCTTCATAAAATTAATAAGGCCTAACGTAACACTTACTCTAAGGGATGAATTTAATACAAACTGTATTTAAGAGATATTAAGAGTGCCTTAATTTATATAAAGGTCTGTAAAATTTTAGGAAGAGAAAAAAATGCTAAGTTGGGAAATCTTTATTTTTACTTAAACTAGTGTCACTATTTTTAAAGCAAATTCGTCAACAGAACTTACATTATTTTAACTGAACACTTGGTGGCAGCAAAGCCTGTATTTTAAATAATGGCACAATGGTCAGCAGTTGGGCGCTTCTCAGGGTGCCGGGTCCTGGATAGGCACAGGGAGAAGCAGGGTGCCAGCCTGCTGGCCTGGGGCGCAGACAGAGGCTTGGACGAGGGGCAGGCGCTCAGCCCTCTCTGGACTGGTGGGCTCTGCTGCAGTGGGAGACTTCCCTTCCGAGCTGTCTCGGAACCACCTTTCTTGGTATCTAACAGATCTGCTACACCACCGAAAATCTCTTTTTTCTTTTCTATATGAAAAGGCTTCATTGTTTTGGTCTATCTTCCTCCCCACACAGAGTTTAGTTCAGAGAAATTACAACTTCTTGATGTTGGAACATAATATCTAAACACAGTCTGTTAACAAAATTAGTCAGTAATAATCAAGGGAATGCCAAGAATGTTTCCAATAAAATTATATATCTCTGCCTCTAGTCTCATTCAATATTTTAGTTGCTAAAAAAAATTCTATGATGATGTTCTTACATGGTGGTACAAGTCAAAAAATACACAAAACTCATAAAACCAGTTTAGAGAATTACATTGTATCTTTCCCATTTTTAAATGTTACTCCCTGAAAGTGCAGGCAACTCTGTCATTCAAATCCCAGCCTTAGTCCAGTCAAGAGGCCAGCTAGGAGCCATTCAAAAACTCCCACCAGTGGGGCAGGGATGCTGGAGTGGCAGAATTTTATCATATAAGAAATGGATATTTGAGGGGCCGGCCCCATGGCCGAGTCGTTAAATTCGCACACTCCGCTTCGGCGGCCCAGGGTTTCACTGGTTCGAATCTGGGTGTGGACATGGCACCGCTCATTAGGCCACGTTGAGGCCGCGTCCCACATGCCACAACTAGAAGGACCCACAACTAAAATATACAACTATGTACTGGGGGAACTTGGGGAGAAAAAGCAGACAAAAAAAAAGATTGGCAAGTTGTTAGCTCAGGTGCCAATCTTAAAAACAAAAAAGAAAGAAATGGATATTTGGGCCATAGTTTATGTAAGATTTCTCAAGCAACTGTATCATGTACTACTTGGCTTCTAACTGTCCCCCATCCCAAATCTAAATTCCTTGCTCATGAAAAATGTGAGTTCAAATATGGCAAAAATATTAACAATAGATGAATCTTGGTAAAAAGTATTTGGGAATTCTTTGTTCTATTCTTGCAACTTGTCTCTAAGGTTTTTTTTTTTGGTGAGGAAGATTGGCCCTGAGCCAACATCTGTTGCCAATCTTCCCCTTTTATTTTTTTCGCTTGAGGAAGACTGTCACTGAGCTAACATCTGTGCCAATCTTCCTCTATTTTCTATGTGGGACGCTGCCTCAGCATGGCTTGATGAGTGGTGCGTAAGTCTGCACCAGGGATCTGAACCCGCAAACCCCACCCAGGCGCTGAAGCAGGGTACTCGAATCCAACCACTATGCCATGGGGCCAGCCCCTCTAAGTTTTAAGTTACTTCAAAGTTAAAAGTTAAAAAAAAAAAAAGACGTACTCTTCTGCAGCATCCAACTGATCAGCTGGCCCATGCCTGCACCCAGCGTGGCTCACAAGGCCTGAGCATCCAGGCATTCCACAAATGTCTTCTAACCTCAACACTATTTGGAAACTCAACATGATCCCATAGTTTATTTGGATTTTCAACACTGATAAGTTTTTTAAAAATATTAAGTTCTTTTGTATCTGGAGGATTATGACAACAAAATGATCGTGATTTTTAAAAATAAAATTAATATGGTATCACTACTTACTCTATGAATTATACCAGCTGAATGCAGATGTTTAATACCACAGAGCATCTGGTAAAGAAGGTAGGACATTCTTTCATGGTCCAACTCCATATGAATAACCTGACATAAGTTAGCATCCATTAATTCCATCACCAAATACCTGAAGGAAAAAAAGACCAGCCAAGTAAACATGAAAATAATCCAAAATTCCTTTGTGGTTATTATTATTTTTATCAAACAGTAATAACTTACTACCTACTCAATGCACTGGCTAAAATCAAAAGATACCTTGTTTCTGCTAAACATTCATAAGCTATCTTGAAAAGAACCAAACGTATAATGGAACTTTGTAAACATTCCCCCCTGCAAAAAAAACAATGAATAACACAATGTCTTTCAAGTTAAAAACAATTTTTACATCATATAGGAAACAGAATCTCAAACATTCAAATTCTCCTTCATCTTAAATTTTTTGCTATTGGATCATTCTTGCCAGTATAGAAACCATGATGTTATTTCTCTCATCTTAAGGAAACTTTTCACTTCATTTCCCCCACCATCTAACATCCCATATTTTTGCTCCCCTTCCAAGCAAAACTCCCCAAAGAGGTGTCTGTACTTGTCAACTCCAATCCTTCTCCCGTTTTTTCTTAATCCCACTTGGATAAGGCTTTTGGCCTCACCACTCTGCCGAAACTGTCCTCCAGGCCCTGGATGGCCTCCATGTTGCTAAACCCAACGGCCAGTCCTACAGTCCCAGCTGACGGTGCCCCCACCTCTCCCCAGCTTCTTACTGCTGGAGTGCCAGCGCTCCCTCCTTCTCTAACTGTACCCACAGACTTGGTGATGTCCTCTGGTCTCTGGTCTCAAAGGCTTTAAATACCATCTATAGACCATCAACTCCCAGATTCACACCTTCAGTCCAGACCTCTGTCCTGAACTCCATCCAGGCTCATTTATCTAACTGCCCACTTCTCAGTTCCATCTGGGTGTCCAATGGACATCTTGAAGTCCACGTCCAAAAGTGAACTCCTGGTTCCATCCTATGCTCCAATTTGCTCTTCCTCACCTCAGTTGAGAGCACTTTCATCCTTTAGGTGCTCAGGGCAAAAGTCCAGGCATTGTTCTCAACTCCTCTTTCTCTCATACCATACATCCCCTCTAAGAGCAAACACTGTGCCTCTACCTTCAAAACAGTTTCAAGTATCCAGTCTCTTCCCTTTGTCCTCACTACTACCCCTCTGGTCCAAACGGAGCCCCCACAATCTCTCACCTGAATTGCTGTAATAGCCTCCTAATTGGTCTCGTGTGTCCCCACCCCTTATGGTGGGTTCTCAACCCAGAAATCAAAGTTATTCTTTTAAAATGTAACTCAAGCAAGCTCACTCTTCTGCTGAAAGTCTTACTGACTTGCTTTGGAGTAAAAGGCAATCTTCGCAATGGCCTAGAGGCCCAGCAATATGTGGCCTCATCACTTCTCTGAGCCCAGCTCTTCTACTCTCCTCTGCTCCCTCCACTCCAGCTGTGCTGGCCTCTTGCTGCTCTTAGAACACACCAAGCATGCTCCCACTTCCACTCCTTTGCACTGCCTATTCCTTCTGTCTTAGTTCCATCTTCCCCTAAGTATCTGTAGGACTAACCCCCTCACTTCCTTCAAGGCTTTCTTCAAATGTCAGCAATCCAGTGAGGTCTTTCCCCAACCACCCTACTTAAAATTGCAACCTGATTCCTAATCCCCAGCACTTCTGACCCCCTCACCCAGCTCTGCTTCTTCCAGACCACTTGCCACATCCTCATGAACGCTTCATTTTCTTATTTATTGTGTTGATGGTCCACCCTCCCTAGTTTTCCTGGCAAGCTGTAGGAGGCAGTATTACCACCTTAAGTAATAAAAGAGATTTTTGTCTATTTTGGTCACTAAAGTATGCCAAGTGCAAGACAGTGCCTAATGCGGCTGGCAATCAAATATTTGTTGAATGAATGAATACATCAGTGAACTTAGGATGAAGGTGGGCCTTATATCTTGATAGGAGAAATTGACACTTCATTTCATGGTTAGTAAGATACCTCTGTTTCAGATTTTGGAAACACACAATATTTAATGACAACCATTTCAAATAATAATTGTAAACACCTGAACCCTATAATGTGAGCTTTCAGGAAACTGAAGAAAAACACTTTATATTACAATAAAGCAAATCAGCAGCATTAATGGTCATTGTCTGCTCTGAAAAATTATCTTCAGTCATCCTTTATCTGTTATGGAGATGATAACCATCTAGGCACAAAGAGTTGAATATTATTAACCATTTAACTTAATATTTCTCTTCCACAAAGAAAAGTAGCTAAGACATCATTAAAAATGTATTGAAACCTACATTTCCTAAGTAAAAAAAGCAGCTACTTCTTTTTCTAAATTTTCAGTCTTTGATACATAGTGCATTACTGTATAAAAATGATACTTACACATCTTGAAATTCTTCAAGAGTTTTTTGTGGTGTAAACACATTTAACAAACTAATTATCTGAAAAGAGAAAATTAATTACACCTCAGCATGTCAGACGACTCTACTTGATTATAAAAATTAAGTTTAACATTAACATGTATTAAAACTGGAAAAAAAAATCACAGCCAAGCTCAGTATTTATTATTATTGTCACTGTTTTTAACAAAACATTCTATTACATAGCATTTGAAAAAAGCTAAATGATTAGGATTCTCACCTTGGAAATAAGATGCACTTTCAATCAAATCACTTTTATGTGTCCCGAGTAACTTATTATTACAGAATTTTAACACAAAATGTCTTTCTGGTTTTTAATATAAATAACTAGAAATTATGGGCAGAAAAACACTAAATAAAGCAATATATTAACTCTGAAAACTTAAATACTACATGTAAATTTCTAAAAAGTTTTGAAATATGAATGCTAAGCTTGTATTTTTGGTATGATAAAGATGAAATACCTCATAGCATTATTTATGTACTTTAAAGAGGGTCCTAGAACTGACCCCTGCAGGCCTACTCTTGGCACCCCAATGGTTAAACAATGAGTTTCGCTGCTTGAGCATCAAAGACACATCTTCAGTCATTTCAAATGATCCAGAGAAAGATGAATTATTTAGTATATATGATTGTGGTAGCTGGCTAGCCAAGGAAAACATAAAACTGGAACCATACTTCAATCCTTATATCAAGATAAACTCAATATGGAACAAAGGTTTAAACCTAAAACATGAAACCATAAAACATTAATATATGGATAAACATTTATATAATCCTGGTGTAGAAAAGCCTTCCTAAGAATGACAGGAAACCCACAAGATTTGATTACATTAAACCCAAACCAAAATAAACCACACAAAAAAAATTAGTATGGCAAAAGTGACCTAAATAAGGTCAAACGGAAAAGAAGTGAGGGTTGATAGTTTCGCTATACAAAGATCTTCTATAAACGCATAAGAAAGAGACCAACAGTCCAAGAGGAAAATGGACAAAGGTTATGGAAAATAAATTCTCAAGAAAAAAAATTGGTTAACAGAGATATGGAAAGAAATTCAATCTCCCAAATAAAAATAAGGTATCATTTGTCATCTATCAGACTGGTAAAGTAAAACAAAAAAGCAATAATATGTTGTACTGGAGGATTCTGAAATAAAAGACATTCTCAGATACTCTTAACGAAAGTGTAAAACTGACAGTCTTCCTTGAGGTTAATTTGTCAGCATATATGAAAGCCAGAAGTGTGCATACTCTTTGACTGAGCAATCTTGGCCAAGACATTCATCTGGACAAGTGTGCAAAGATGCATGTGTAAGGATGTTCACTGCAGCATTGTTGGTAAGAGTAAAAAACCAGAAACAATCTAAATATCCAATAATAGGTGATTGGTTAAATAAATTATTGTGTATCTTATGTGGCCCTTTAAAAAATGGTTTATATCTATGTTCATTAAAGTATGTGAGATCTAGCAACACTTCATGAGGGAAAAAAAGAATGTATAATAACAACTGATCTTGTGTATCTATGCGTATATATATACACACAAGAATGCTCACCAAAATGTTAATGATAGTGATCTGTGGGTGGTGGGATTTTCAAGGATTTTTGCTTTCTTGTTTACATTGTTGGAATTTCTAGAAATAACAACCATAGAATTTTTTATAACCCGAAAAATTTTAAAAAAATCAATAGGTAAAATAAAGCTCACAGTGAAGAAATTAAAAACAAACTCAGAGCACAGACTCAAAAGAATGAATCTTAGTTTCATATTTAATGTCCCTACACCAGAAAGATCCAGCACAAATGTTAAAATAAAAGGAGCCATAGAGTTGAGTGTACTCTTACATACTCACCCGCCTCAACAATAAGGGGTCCTACGGGGTGCTCTCCAAAGCCCTTTCCAGATTGAATGTGTTATGGCAAGGTTATCAAAATCATGTTTAAAAGAATGCTCAGAAGAGTGACGTCAGCATCATGGCGGAGAGAACATGCCCGTGACTCTCTGCCCTCCAACATACAACAACAAAAACTGACATCCATACTCCAAGAAAAGACATTCTAACAACACAAAAACCTCGGAGAGACATGCAGCCACACAACAGAGGGTGGAGAGGCTGAAGCCCCCCTCGAAGGAGGTGGAACGTGGTAAGACTGATCTTCACCCCCTCCCATAAAGACTGTGGTTGCTGCTGCGGGAGGATCCGTGAGGGAAGGAGTGGGCAAGGGGTAGCACATCTGCGGGATCACCCAGGACTCCCTAAGCCCCTTGCGGCCTACAGGGAAGCCCTCTAATGGGGGAAAGCTTTTGCATGGGGTGACCTCATTAAGCCAAGACCCCAGGAGACCAGATAGCAAGAGCGGATTGAGAAAGCACACAGGAGAAAGCGCCCCTCCCCCCACCCACCCTGCGCCATTGCGGCTGAAGGCGGAGGGCTCAGAATACGCATCTCTTGACCCCTACCCAGTGGCTATAGGTGGCAACTGCAACCGAATAATATCAGAATGAGAAAGACCCGACCTTCCAACATCAGACACTACATCAAATCTCCAGACCAGAGAGAAAACAACAAGCACCCAGAACTCAGTCCTGAGGACACAGAAATATGTAATCTAAATGACAATGAATTCAAAATAGCTATCACCAAGAAACTCAACAAGGTAAAAGAGAATGTAGAGAAACAATTCAACGAGTTCAGGAGCTACTTCATGAGAGAGATCGAAACTATAAAGAATCAATCAGAAATACTGGAGATGAAAGACACAATGGAAGAGACAAAACAAAATACTGATTCCCTTAACACCCAAGGGGACGCCATAGAGGAGCATATCAGCATAATAGAAGACAGACATGTTGAAGTGCTCCAGACAGAGGAGAGAGAACTAAGACTAAAGAGAAATGAAGAAAGTCTCTGAGAAATATCTGACTCAATGAGGAAATGCAACATAAGAATTATAGGTATTCAAGAAGGTGAAGAGAAGGATAATAGAGCAGAAAGTACGTTCAAAAAATAATAGCAGAGAACTTCCCAAATCTAGGGAAAGAGGGAAATATATGTAGAAGAAGCTTCCAGATATCCTAGATTTGTCAATGTAAAAAGACCTACTACAAGGCATATAGTAGTAAAACTGGCCAAAATGAATGACAAAGAAACAGGGCAGCAAGGCAGAAGAAGATAACCTACAAAGGAACCCCTAGTAGGCTTTCAGCAGATTTCTCTGCAGAAACCTTACAAGCTAGGAGAGAATGGAATGACATATTCAATACTTTAAAAGACAAGAATCTTCAGCTAAGAATACTCTATCCAGCAAAAATATCCTTCAGATATGAGGGAGAAATCAAATCTTTCCCAAACAAAAGCAAAGGGACTTTGTAGCCATGAGACCGCCCCCCCCCCCCCACAAGAAATGCTGAAGAAGGCCCTCAAACCTGAAAAAAGAAAAAAAGGGAGAAACGGGTCACAAAACACAGAGTAAGGAGATAAATAGGTAGACAGAATCAGAATAGGATAGCAATTATTCAAGTACAGCATTAGGCTAAAGGGAAGGAAAACACCAAAAACAAAGACAATCTTGTCACTTTAACCACAAACAACACAAGCCAGAATAAGATATGAGAAAAACCACTTAGGAGGGGAGGAGAAAAGGGACTATCAGTTTAGACTAAGGAAATAAGAGGCCATCAGAAAATAGACTATCTTATACATGAGATTCTGAATACAAACTTCAAGGTAACCACTAAACAAAAAAGCAGAACAGAGACACAAAAAAATAAATAAGGAGAAAACAAAGAAATGCATCATAAAAAACTACATAATTCAAAGGGTAGATGAAAACATACAGGATGAGAAACAAAGGAAATGTAGGAAAACCAGAAAACGAGTGATATAACGACAGCATTAAGCCCTCATACATCAGCAATCACCCTAAACGTAAATGGACTGAATTCTCCAATAAAAAGACAGAGAGTGGCGAGATGGATTAAAGAACAAGACCCAACAATATGCTGCCTCCAGGAAACACATCTCAGCTCCAATGACAAACACAGGCTCAGAGTGAAGGAGTGGAAGACGATACTCTAAGCTAATGGCTAACAAAAGAAAACAGGTGTCACAATACTTATATCAGACAAAGCAGACTTCAAGATAAGGTCAGGTAAAGAGAGACAAAGAGGGGCTGTATATAATGATCAAAGAGATACTCCATCAAGAAGAAATGCTGCTTCGAAATATCTATGCACTCAACACAGGAGCAGCAAAGTTCATAAAGCAACTATTAACAAACCGAAAAGAAGATATTAAAAATCACGCAATACTAGTAGGGGACCTCAACACCCCACTCACATCAATGTATAGATTATCCAGGCAGAAAATCAACAAGGAAACAGTGGAATTAAATGAAAAGCTAAACCAGTTGGACTTAACAGACATATATAGAACACTCCATTCAAAAACAGCAGAATACACATTCTTTTCAAATGTGCATGGAACATTCTCAAGGATGGAACATATGTTGGGAAAGAAGGCAAGCCTCAATAAATGTAAAAAAATTGAAATAATAACAAGCATCTTCTCCAATCACAATGCTATAAAGCTAGAAAGTAATTATAAGAAAAAGGGACAATGATGTGGAGACTAAACAATATGCTACTGAATAAGCAATGGATCATTGAAGAAATTAAAGGAGAAATCAAAAAATATCTGGAGACAAATGAAAATGAAAACATACCATACCAACTCATATGGGATGCAGCAAAAGCTGTATTAAGGGGGAAATTCATCGCAATAGACGCTCATCTTAACAAACAAGAAAAATCCCATATAAGTAATCTCAAATTACACCTAACTGAACTAGAAAAAGAAGAACAAAAAAAGCCCAAAGTCAGCAGGAGGAGAGAAATAATAAAAATCAGAGCAGAAATAAATGCTACTGAAACAAAAAAGGCAGTAGAAAGGATTAATGAAACAAAGAGCTGGCTCTTTGAGAAGATAAATAAAATTGACAAACCCCTAGCCAGACTTACAAAGAAAAAAAGAGAGAAAGCTCAAATAAACAAAATCAGAGATGAAAGAGGAGAAATAACAATAGACTCCACAGAAATATGAGGGATTATAAGAGAATACTACAAAAAACTATATGCCAACAAAATGGATAACCTATAGGAAATGGATAAATTCTTAGACTCTTACAATCTTCCAAAGCTGAGTCAAGAAGAAACAATCTGAATAGACCAATTACAAGGAAAGAGATAAACAGCCATCAAAAGCATTCCAAAGAATAAAACTCCAGGACCAGACGGCTTTCCTGGGGAATTTTACCAAACTTTCAGAGAGGATTTAATACCTATCCTTCTCAAGCTATTTCAAAAAATTAGGGAGGATGGAACACTTCCTAACACATTCTACAAGGCCGACATCACTCTGATACCAAAGCCTGACAAGGACAGCACGAAAAAGGAGAACTACGGGCCAATATCATTGGTGAACATAGATGCAAAAATCCTCAACAAAATATTGGCAACCCCAATTCAGCAATACATGAAAAGAATCATACATCATGATCAACTGGGATTCATACCAGGGACACAGGGATGGTTCAACATCTGCAAATCAATCGTGATACACCACATCAACAAATTGAGGAATAAAAACCACATGATCATCTCAAGAGATGCAGAGAAAGCATTCGACAAGATCCAACAGCCATTTATGTTAAAAACTCTTAACAAAATGGGGATAGAAGGAAATTACCTCAACATAATAAAGGCCATATATGACAAACCCACAGCCAACATCATACTCAATGGGCAAAAACTGAGCGCCATCCCCCTGAGAACAGGAATGAGACAAGGATGCCCACTATCACCACTCTTACTCAACATGGTACTGGAAGTTTTGGCCAGAGCAATTAGGCAACAGAAAGGAATAAAAGGAATCCAAATAGGGAGTGAAAAAGTGAAACTCTCGCTGTTTGCAGACGACATGATCTTATATATAGAAAACCCCCAAAAATCCATCAGACAACTAACAGAAATAATTAACAACTACAGTAAAATTGCAGGGTACAGAGTCAACTTATAAAAATTGGTTGCTTTTCCATACTCCAATAACAAACTTACAAAGAGAACTCAAGAATACAATTCCATTTGCAATTGCAACTAAAAGAATAAAGTACCTAGGAATAAATTTAACCAAGGAGGTGAGGGACTTATACATGAAAACTATAAGATATTACTGAAAGAAACTGATAATGACATAAAAAAGATGGAAAGAGATTCCTTGCTCATGGATTGGAAGAATAAACAGTTAGAATGTCCATACTACACAAAGCAATCTACAGATTCAATGCAATCCCAATCAGAATCCCAATGACATTCTTCACGGAAATAGAATGAAGGATCCTAAAATGCATATGGGGCAACCAAAGACCCTGAATTGCTAAGGCAATCCTGAGAAAAAAGAACAAAGCTGGAGGTATCACAATCCCCGACTTCAAAATGTACTACAAAGCTGTAGTGATCAAAACGGCATAGTAGTGGTACAAAAAACAGGCACACAGATCAATGGAGCAGAACTGAAAGCCTAGAAATAAAACCACACATCTATGGACAGCTAATCTTCAACAAAGGTGCCAAGAACATACAATGGAGAAAAGATAGTGTCTTCAATAAGTGGTGTTGGGAAAACTGGACAGCCACATGCAGAAGAATGAAGATAGACCACTATCTCACGCCATACACAAAAATAAACTAAAAACGGAACAAAGACGTGAAGATAAGTCCTGAAACCATAAAACTCCTAGAAGATAATATAGGTAGTACACTCTTTGACATCAAACTAAAAAGGATCTTTTTGAATACCATGTCCTCTCAGACAAGGGAAACAAAAGAAAAACTAAACAAGTGGGGATTCATCAGACTAAAGAGCTTCTGCAAGGCAAAAGAAACTAGAATCAAAACAGAGACAACACACCAATTGGGAGACAATATTTGCACATCATATATCTGACAAGGGGTTAATCTCTGTAATATATAAGGAACTCACACAACTGAAAACAAACAACCCGATCAAAAAATGGGCAGAGGATATGAACAGACATTTTTCCAAAGAGGATATACAGATGGCCAATAAACTCATGAAAAGATGTTCAACATCACTAATCATCATGGAAATGCAAATCAAAACTACACTAAGATGCCAGCTTGCACCTGTTAAAGTGGCTATAATCACTAAGACTAAAAATAACAAATGTTGGAGAGGGTGTGGAGAGAAGAGAACCCTTACACACTGCTGGTGGGAATGCAAACTGGTGCAGCCACTATGGAAAACAGTATGGAGATTCCTCAAAAAACTAAAAACAGAGCTACCATATGACCCAGCTATCCCACTACTGGGTATCTACCCAAACAATTTGAAATCAACAATCCACGTAACATATGCACCCCTATGTTCATTGCAGCACTATTCACAATAGCCAAGACATGGAAACAATCCAAGTGCCCATTGACTGATGATCAGATGAAGATGATGTGGTATATACATACAATGGAATACTACTCAGCCATAAAAAAGGACATAATCATCCCATTTGCAACAACATGGAAGGACCTGGAGGGAATTACACTAAGCAAAATAAGCCATACTGAGAAAGACAAACACCAGATGATTTCACTCACGTGTGGAATATAAACAAGCACATGGACAAAGAAAATAGTTCAGTGGTCACCAGGGGAAGGGGGGTGTGGGGTGGGCACAGGGGGTGAGGGGGAGCGCTTATGTGGTGACAGACAAGAAATAGCATACAACTGAAATCTCACATTGATGTAAACTATTATGAACTCAATAATAATAATAAAAAAAGAATGCTCAGAGACCAGTAGTAGGAAATACCATGTGCCTGAATAGTTCATTTTCCAGAGACATACTATTTCTGCTTAAAATTTACAGTGGGTTGATTTCTGTGGGGATGCTAAGTACAGCTATCTTAAATATAATATCTAATAATGTTTCTTTAAAACTGAGGTGTCCAGAATTACAAGGTAAAAAGCTACTTATAAAACAATGTTTTCCCAAAAACTATTTAGCTGTTTCTCAATTTGTTAGGTCAATAGTGTTGTCATTTTATAGAAACAGAAATAGTGAAAATCAAATGGTTAGAGAGTTAACTGACATTCCTATCCTTGTCTAGTGACCAAAATTCTTATGACCATGATGTCTCTGACTTCAATTTCCACAATGTTAAGAACTTTATCAATAAAATATTGCCATTTTAATAGTTATTTTTATCACCAGTTTACCCCAAGTCTAAACTCAATGTATCTCCAAAGACCCAAGATGATCACATCACTGACAATATTAAAATATACAGAGGACACACAGACATAACTTACATTTTTATGATTGACACATTTTAAGAGGACGAGTTCACGATAAGCTCTCTTTGCATGAGTTTGATTCTGAAAAGGACGGCTTAGTTTCTTGACTGCAACATTTACCCCAAGAACTGTATCAAAAGCAGCACTATAATTAGGAAATATAATAAGCAATCCATTAGAATGATTTTAGAAAATAAAGCAATGCAGAATGCACATTCAGTGTATTATCTTTTTTAATGAGTAACAAATAAGGAAAAGTCTTTGTTTCCATCCAAGGTCCTTGTACACATGAAGAGCTGGGTGAGCCGGCTAAGAGTGCAGGACGGACTGACTCCTTTGCAGGGCCATGGACATGGCAGCTGCATTTAAGATGGGATTCAGCAATCTTTTGCACCTTGACTTTTCATTAGTTTAGTTGAAATTATTATGTTCAGAAACAATTAATTTAATACAGAGCATGTAAAACCAGTCAAGAAATGAAATCTTCAGTTTAATTATGCCAGTAAGTTGAAAAAAAGTCACTTATTATCGCAGAACAAAATAAGTATGTTTTGGAGTATCACATTGGAAGAAACGGTTGAGTTCATGAGAAGATATAATAAATCTAAGTTTTGATTGATTGTGTTTTTTCTCAGACAAAAGAATCTAAATAGAAAACAGAAGCCAAAATCTCAGCTCATGGTGAATCCCCAAGATACAAAATTCCTAACATAAGCAATTGCTATATATAAAATTTGACTAGAAATACCTCCTCATACTATTACAGTGAGAATAAAATCTAGAGGCTGTGTTTCCAGCATCTCAAGTTCCAAGCTGAAATTTATGCCTCATTTTCCTCCAGAAAATAGACATGAAATATTGAGCAGCCTGATTGCACATTTTTGGGTTTCAAACTAGTACCAATAGTGTTGTTAGTATCTTTTGGCTACTCATCAGGGGTTAAAAGCTGCTAAAGACCACCTGAGAACCTAAGCACCATTTAAAATATGGTTTCTATTTATTTATTCTATTCAGTTTATAATATTAATTATATTTAATTCCTTCTATTAGTAATGTTAAACAACCCTAACTTAACTCAACTTGTTTTTAATTGAAGGCTGCCCGCTGTTGTATTTGGTTAAGAATTAACAGAAAATTCATGTTACTTTGGAATTATTTTTTAATTCATTTGACATTATGTGTACATAGATACACATATGTAAATTTACATGTCAATATGCAAATGTCGGTTCATACGAATTATAAAATATTAAAGATAAATCTACTTGTGAAATTATTTAGTATGCTTCTATACAAATGTGTATTTGTATCTATATATATATTTTACAGTCTCAAGAATTTGAAAACAAATACACTTCTTTTGGTCTCAAAAGTTTTTGTCCAAAATGAGCCAAATGAGCCAATTTTGAGTATTTGAGCAGACACACGCTCCCCCAACCCTAGTTCCAACTCCAGGAACAACTCCCTTCAATTATTCCTAGTTTTAATTCTTGTGGTGACTTCTCAAATTCAAAGAACACACTTTTATCATGATTTCCTCACTTATCAACTTTAGAAATGATTTACTTACTCCCCATTATGAAAAGTGAGGATTTAGTCATTTACTTAAACCCCTAACTCCTCCCAGGTTTTGTTCTCGTGTTATTTTTAACTTTTCCCTTGGTTACCCTTGTGACTTCAAACAACATGCCGAAATTCCTTGTTCCATCAACTTTCAAAGGAACCTCTTGACTCTCCAGTATTTAAAACGAGACTATTATATGCCAGCTCCTTTCTCCTCCAGCTCTCTACTCTCTTCCCTTTTCCTCTAAACTTCTGTCTTAAGTGGTCAAACTTGATAACACATCTATAACTCAGTCTTCTGTGTTTCTTCTTTAGGATGTGTATAAAAGTTGAAAATCAAGACAGAGAATGTATGTGTATGTGTGTGCACATGTAAATATTACTAATTGCACAGCTGGGATTACATTTCATTTCTAAAGATCACATGACCCTTGCTGCCACTCATAAGAGAATGAGATGTTTCCAACATTAAGGTCAAATGGATTCTTTTTTTCACATTTCATCAATTGCTCAAACATGATGTCCTTTTAATTTCTTTTATACTTAGACCATGACTTTTTCTAGCTCTCCCCCCACAAATTTCTAATAAACTTTTTATTTTTATTATTAAGGAAAGAAAAATAAACCTTTGCTAAGCCTATCACCAGTACTTCCTGGTTTCTTACTCACATTATCTATTGTTTGGAATCTATTCCATTCTTTTTGGAGATGTTTTTCCTAGAGTTTCTTTCAAGGCCTGCTACATGGTTATCATCCTGGGATTTCTTTTCACTAGCCTCCACTGTTTCTCACATGACACGTCCTGGTATTCTCCTTCTTCTTGGAGTACATCCTCAAGCAATTTCCTCAGAAAAAGGGCATGGAAAATAAACGATCTTACTCTGCCCTCACCCTTGGTTGATTTCAAAATCCATGTGCTCTCGGAACTCACTGATCTCCAGTGTTGAGTGTCGCTGGTGAGAAGGCTTACGCCTCTCTGATATTCATTCCTTTGTTTCCCTTTTTTGCTCACTGGCTCAAGATTGATTGTAAAGAGCCATGTTTTTTCAGCATCCCCAAAGCCCCTCATGCATCTCCTACCAATCATCACCCATCCTGTTCCCTAAAGATGCTAACTACTTCTGACTTATCTTTGCCTGGTTTTTGAAATCATCTGTGTCTGACTTTTTTCACTCACCTATTCTATTTGTGAGATGTGTAGCTATAATTCATTCTGTGTCATTGCTATAATATTCCTTTACATAACTATATGACATAACGTTGATAGATAATTGTTTTCAGTTCTGCAAGCAATTATATAAAACATGGTCATAAACATTCTCCTACATGGTTCTGGGTCCCCTATGCATGTATTTCTTACAAGTAGATAGCTAAGAGGGATTGCATAGCTTCTATTTTAGTAAATAATGTCAAACTGTTTTCAAAAGTGGTTTGTTCTACCAATTTCTAGGCATTTGAGTTTTTTTGCATATTGGACCTGTGTCCTGCAACGGGGCTATACATACTCAGTAATTCAACAAAAGGTAGTTTGGGGTCAGGGGATCAACTATCACAAGAGCCCTCTAGGAGCAGACTTTGTTCTGGCAGGTGGGAAGAAGGTGAAGTCAGAGAGAGATGAGTCCTGAGAAGGACTGGATGTCCCACTGCTGCCTTTAAGATGGAGGGGGTCATGCGAGAAGGAAAGCAGGAGCCTCTAGGAGCAGAATGGCCCCTGGTTGATAGGGAGTGAGGAAATGGGGACCTCAGACCTCCAGCTGCAAGGACTGGGGTTCTGCCAACAACCTGAAAGCACTTGGAAGCAGATTCTTCCCCAGAGCCTCCAGATAAGAGCCCAGTTCAGCCAGCATCTTGATTTCAGCCTTGTGAGATGCTGAGCAGAGAGCTGGGCTCTGCTGCCCATCAGATTCCCAGCCTACAGAACTGAGATTATACACTGTTACAAACTGCTAAGTTTGTGGCAATTTGCGATGCCGCAAGACAAAACTAACACATCTTCTCTTCTGTATTTTTCTACTCTTTTTGTCTCTCCAGGCTTCATTTTTGGATATTTTTTCTGACCTATCTTTCAGATCACTAATTCTCTCTCCAGTTATATCTAATATGCTATTAAACCCATCCATTAACTTCATAATTCAATTACTATATCTTACAGTTCTAGAATTTGTTTTTTTTTTTAAGTTTTCATTTCTCCACCAAAAATTTTTCATCTTGTCTTTTATCATGCTGAATATAACATCATAGCTATTTAAAAGTCTGGATCTGATTAAGACCAACATCTCCCATGGATCTGTTTCTTTTCTCTGTTGTCTGTGCTGAATTTTGTGCATGTTGTCTAATCTCCTTGTGTGCCTAGTTATTTCTGATTATGTGCTGAGCCTCGTACTTGTAAAACTACCTGGAAATAATTTGATATACAAGATGATGCTATCTTCCTCAAGAGGAAATTTACATTTACTTCTGCTGGGTACCTGGGGGCAGGAGCAATTTGGGTTCACCTCAGTACAAGTCCAGCAAATTACATGATTTGAAGCTGAATGGCAGTGCCTGCAAGAGCCTGTCTCTTTCTGGTTCATCCTTACTTCTAGGATGCAGCTCTTTATGGGCCCAATTCAAAACAAATGAAGTTCACTAGACCCCTCTAGAGGGCCCTGGACTCCAATTCCTGGCTCCCAGCCCCAGAGGCAGCCAAAAGAACTACTCAATCTCTCAGCTGCCCACTCCAGAACTTTCAAATGCTCTCAAGGGACAGACGGCCCCAAATTCTGGGTTCCCCTCACTAGGGTTCTGTCCTTCCCTGGATTCTGGCCTAATAATTCTTCACTGGCCTGCCTACTCTCTAGGGGCAAATGCTGAGCAGGGGGATTGGGGTGGGAAAGCTGGGAGTCAATTGGCATAGTTGTTTTATAGACACACTTTCAATTAACACCTCTATTTCTAGCCACCTGTTTCATCTTCATTTTCTGTATTCATCATCTCTATGCCCACAACCTCTTTGAGGGGGTTCTACTATAGATTGGTTCTCTTCCTTACTGCAAATGTCTCATCTACTTATTTTCACTTCCTCTGCTCTGTTTTATCTGCATCAAGCTTCCAATTACTTTTTATATTTCAGAAACTTGTTAAAAGCTCTCATTCATTGATTGCTACTCTCCTGGTCTCTTTGTTTAGGTGTCTGATGCACCATCTTAAATCAGAAGTTCCAAACCACTCATTTTAGAGGTGAAAATATTAAAGCCCATAAAGACACAATGATTTACCCAGGGTCACAAAGAACTACTTCTATGAGGATCAGAGCTGGACTTAGAACTCAACTCTCCTGAATTACAGCGTTTTACCATATATCTCCTTTACCACTGAAGTTTTGCTGTGAATATTATGTTTTAATTTATTTATACTAATGGAGGGAAAATAATACAATGTAAGAGGCCAATATTCACGTTTGTACAGAACTAGAGCTACACCAACCATTTCATGTTAAGGTTTTAATTGTCCCTTCTAAGTACTGCCAGATTTAATATTTAAACACTTTTTTTTTTAAGTTAAACACTTCATAGAATTGTTATAAAACAAATAATCTTTACT